TGTCCCTGGGCATGCTCTACATGCCCAAGGTGTACATCATCCTCTTCCACCCAGAGCAGAACGTCCCCAAGCGCAAGCGGAGCCTCAAGGCGGTGGTGACGGCGGCCACCATGTCCAACAAGTTCTCTCAGAAGGGAGGTTTCCGCCCCAATGGAGAGGCCAAATCAGAGCTCTGCGAAAATCTGGAAACACAAGGTAACATGGCTCCCTGTGGGGTTGGGGAGCTGGTCCTGCTGGGGACCGACATGCTGCTGGGAAGCCCAAAGCCCTGGCTCGCCAGTGGGCCATAGCCGTGTTGTCCTCCACAGGCGCAAGCAATGCCGGCAGTGCTGCTCCTTGGCAAAGGGACATCTCAGCTCCCTCCCGCCCCATGGCTTGGCCCGCCATCCCCTAGGAGCGAGGGCAGCGTGGGAAGGGATGCATCTCGCGGGCTGGGGGCCACTCTGCTCCCCGCCGTGCCCAAAGCCACCCTGAGGAGGGAGGTGTGCTCCAGTTATCTGTGCTCCAGCCGGGGCATGAGCTCTCAGCGAGGGGACAGCATCATCTGCTGTCTGTGGGCAGAGAAGATTCCCCTTTTGTTAATTTATTTCCACCCAAGAAACGCTGTTTTCCATCACTGCAGCCACATAGCTGAGAAAGGACGTGTCCTGCCTCCCTCTGATCGGGATTGCTCCTGGCGCTCCCATCCCTCCACAGGCCTGTTTGCATTATCCTGTGGGAAATGCTGCTGGGTGGGTGGCAGGGGAAATAATGCTGGCGACACGCTCATGCCGCTGCCGGGCGAGATGCTGGCTTGGGCACATGGAAATCTGCTCAAACACCCAGAGAAGGATCCTAGTGTCAGCCCACCCTGGGTGCCTGGAGCTGCTCCCGGGAAGGCTCTGGTGTGGCTGATGGGGCAAGGTGTTTGCTGTCTGCCTGTGGGCTGTTCCCGGGAGCCAGGCTGGAGCTAAGGCTGACACAGGGACAGAGCCACCAGTCTCCCCTGGGAAGAGAGGCTGGGGGCTCAGGAAACCCTGGGAAAGTGGGTGCATGCCTGTTCTGCATTTGGGTTTCCAAAAACAGAGCCTTGCAGGAGGAAGGAATGGTTGGAGCCAATGCTGCTGGGGTCCTTTGAGAAGGGAAATCCCATTTGAGCTAAATCTGAAGAAAACCCCGTGGAAATACAAATGTTCCTCGTGTACAGAGTTTCTGGGTTCCAGCATCAGTGGGATGGAGACCAAACAGCATTTCCATGGAAAGCCGTGATTGTCTTTGTAATCCCACGCTTGCTCTCCTTCCAGCCTGAGCTATTTAATATCCCTTGGCATCTCTGTATAACCTCTGTATCCGCATCGCTCAATGTAATGGCTCTCGCTGGCAATGTCTCTCCATAGGCAGTCTCTCTGCATAATCAACTCTTTCGTCTACCTATCTGCATTGTGAAGGGCAGCTACACAGTCAGAACCCCCTCGCCACCCGTGCTGGAGGTGACTTTTGTCAGCTGCTATCGCAGATCTGTGTGGTCTGTGGTCCTATCCCAAGGTGGCAGGGGGTAGGGGTCCCTCTGTTACCCCCATTTTGTCTGTGCCACAGATGCTCCATGCAAGGCTGGGGGTATCTGTGGGCTCCCCACGGTAAAGGCTCGCCGGGAGCACGCCAGCCCTGTCCTGGGGAGCCACCTGTTGCCAGACTCCCCACGGCATCGGTGTCACAGGCTGTGATGCTGTGCACGCGTGACCTTGTCCCTCTCCAGCCTCACAAGGCTCCTGGCCAGGGCTCTGCCAGCACAAAGGGCTGATACTCCCTTTGCAGCAGGGCTTGGAGGCCCAGATGCAGCGAGCACCTCGTCTGGGACCTGAACCCAAACATTCCTGTATGCTCTCCACTGCGCTGAGCATCCTTCTCCCCTGCAGGACTCGCAGCAGGAGCCTCTGAGGATCGTACGTGCCAGGAGCAGGGAGAGCTGAGCCTCCCGTCTGCCGCATCTTTGGCTCCGATGTGTCTCGCATGGGGAATATGGGAGCTCGGTGCACACGGGGCTGGCAGCACGCTCCCAAGGTGTGCCAAGGCAGGGAGCCGGGCACGGCATCAATGCTGGGGGCAGGAGGCACGGTGGGGTTGTCAACGCAGGACCAAGGGGCCGTTTTTCATTCTGTCACTGGCAGGTCATGTATCCTTAAATAAACAAGAGAATAAATAATTCACAGGGCTTTGATATGGGCAGACTGGCTACGAAAACATTGCGGCTAACAAATAGCTCTGTCAGCTCTAATTTCTTATGGCCTATCTAATTGTTATCTGGGAATACCAGTCTGAAATCTGCAGCAAGTTCATTTGTCAGCGAGGCACCGAGACAGAGGGAGAGCTGCTGGGCGTCCCCTCTGCGCAGTGCCATGGGGATGGTCTCTGCAGAGGACATGTTTGTGCTGCTCATGGTGTCTTGGGCTTTGCTGTCTGTCCCAGCGCTTGTCCGTGTCCTTGGCTGGAGGGTGTCCGTGTGTCTGCTGAGCCCCATGGTGCCTGGGGACCTCATGGTGAGATCTCCGCAGAGCATCGTGCCCGGCCGAAGTGCTGAGACAAGCCAGGGTGTTGCAAGCTGCTGCTTCCACCTCTCCCTGAGCAGTGGCTGCTGCTAAAAGCAAGTGACGTGCTGCAGCCTCCGAGCCCGAAGGCAGCAGTGCAGCCCTGCGGGGAGCGGGCTCTCTGGCTTTTTCCTGGCTCTGGGCCTTGCTGCAGCTCCCCTGGTGTCAGTCTGGGACGTGTGGTGGCTTTGTAGCCATTGCTGCCTCCTCTCCTTGTGTGTTCAACCCCGTCCTGAGGGGCTGGTGCATCTGGGGAAGCTGGAAGGTGGCAGCAGCGTACGTGCTCTGCTTCTCCAGCACCTGAGCATGGGCACAGGGATCCTTGGTGAGGGACGCAGCCAGGCTGGCTGGCTTTGTGCCACCTGCTGCTCAGCTCCCAGCTGCCATGGAGCAACGTGCAGGGGTGCGGGGCACCCAGCTCGGACCCCAAATCGTGTTCTTGCAGGGCTGGGGCAAGCTGAGCTTTTGGGAATGTGGAGCACCTGTGGGTTTGTCTGTAAGAAGTTGCTGAGGGAAGTGAACAGGAGCCTGAGAACACATCCCCCATGGCTCATGTCACATCCTGGGGTCTCTCTTCGGGATGAGCTGTCTTTAGAGAGCCCCCAAGGGCTGCCGTGGGGCTCAGCCCCCCTGCCACGGCTCAGTGCCCTCGCAGGGAATGACCCTGAGTGCTGGCACTGGCCGGATCCATGAGCAAACCCCACGTCACGTCCCCGCCAGCATCTCCTGTCACGACAGTCAGGTCAGGGTGATGGGACAGGAGCCAGAAAGGGAGGGTGGGCTTCATTAACGATACATGTGAGGTTTGTCTCTCTTTCCAGCACTGGCTACCAAACAGACCTACGTCAGCTATAGCAACCACGCGATTTAGCTCCAGCAATCGCAACGAGGGGGAGCCGGATGGGACGGGGAGGTGGCAGTGGGGGGGGACATGCTCCTGGTGGGGCCACTGGGCAGAGCTCCCGGGGAAGATGGCGATCAACAGCAGCAAAAAAAATATAAAGAAACAATAAAAATAAACCACCGACCACCGTGACAATGCATGCCTCCCCACGGAGGAAGAGGAACAGTTGAGCAGGGGGGACGTAGCGCAGGGAAGAGGTGACAGACTTCGGCAAGTCTTCGGGTTTTTTTTTTCTGTATCTTGGCAAAAAAAAAAAAAGAGACCCAACATTTTCCCTTTTCTGGAATTTGTGAGATTGTTTGTGGTTGTGCAGAACCTTCTGTTTTCTCTTTCTTTTTTTTTAATCCTCTGTTTTCTTTTGTTCCTGTCCTCCTCCGTCCCTCTTCACTCTCTCTCCCGTATCCTACCAAATTCTATATGTTGCAAAAAGGAAAAATAAATAATACATAAAATTTAAATAAAAAAACAGACAACAAAATAAAATAAAACCTAGGCTGTGTTCAAAGTGCTGATTTCTATAGGTGGTTAATTAATGTATGTGATGACCATATGGATTGAAATATGTCTGCTTTATGTACTGACCAGTCAAAAAACAAAAACACACAAAAAAAAACAAAGTTCAGTGCCTGGATGTTTATGAATTATTCGATGACTGTGTAGAGCATGATCATTTTTATACGAGGAGATTTCTAATAAAAGACCATGGTTTTGCACTCGGCGTTTGCTGTCTCTTGGTGACTGTTCGTTCCAGGCTCCAGGAGGCGACTTGGTTTCGGCTGATGGGGAAGGTTTTGGGTGGCCAAGCGCTCCAGGACGGGATGGGGTTTGGTGTCCTTCCTCTCCAGGCCATCCCGCTGCAAATGGGGTCCTTGTGCAGGGATGGGACAGGGAGAAGAGAGCTCAGCATCACCCTGGCACAGTGCGTTTGGGCACACGCCGTAGCCTGTACTGCCTCAGTGCTCAAGGGTTGGGGCAGGATCCGGGCCAGAAAGGGCTGATTCCTCCTCGTTTGCTCTTCCCCAAGGTGTGGGTTGAGGCTGGAGGGATGGAGCAGAGAGGAAGGGATTTTCCAGGGTTGGTTTTTTTTCCCCTATCAGAGGCAGGGCCAGCTCCACCCTCCCCATCAGGACCAACCTGGGCTAATTAGGGAGTTGCCAGCTAACAAAAGCAGGTCTGCCCTCGTAGGAGGGAGGGTTCCTCTTCCTGGCTCCGGCCTGCCCCTTGGGCTAGCACAGCTTGGTGTGCAAGGTATGTGGCTGTTCAAAGAGTCTTAGTTTTGCCTGTTTTGGGGAGGTTTGGTGTGTTTGCTGCTGGTGCCTCTGTCCCTGTGCGCTGGGAATGGCTCTTGGAAAGGGTGTGGCTGTGCTTGTTTACTGCTGGGTCAGGAGAGGATGGTCCAAGCTTGTCTTTCTTCTGGTGAGCAGATGGGAGGTGGGGAAAGGAGGCAGGGAAAGGTGCTGCTGCCTGCCCTAGAGAGGTGGGCTGCCTCCGGGTTTTGGGCAGGTTGCTGCTTTAGGTGTCCAGCAAAAGCGCTGGAGCTGGCAGCGGTGTCCTGACCTTGCAGGGGCGACGAGGGCGCTGGGATGTCTCCCCAGCACTTTGCATGTGTTCCTCCTGGCCTAAAGGTGCCCATGTATTCCCTTCTCTGAGCATGAGTGAAGTTACCCCTGTGTCTTGCATGTTTCTAGACCTATTTGTGTATTAATTGCAGCTCTCCTCTCGCTTGGATGAGTCACCCCGGCTGTGTGCCCCGGGGACGGGAGGCCTCAGTGCCGCTCTGAGCACTGCGGGGATCTTCAGCCATTGATCAGTGCCAGAAGGGAAACACGACTGTTCCCTGCTGGCACAGAGAGGACAGAGCATGGCTTGAAGGCAGGATTTAAAAAAAGAAAAAAGAAATATAATGAAAAGCGTGAAACTTTGATAAGATTGTACTCGTCAATAGAGCTGCTCAGGAGAAAAAAACTGCTCCATTCCCACCGCATCCATCACTGTCGGATTGGATGTGAAATGCCGCCTAGTTCAGAGGGCTCCCAGAAAACCTGAGTTGATGTCTCTGGTGCTGTTTCTAGCTCTGAGATACTGCTCTGCTGTTTTTACAAGCAGCTTTCACCCTGAACTCTGCCTGATAACGACTGGAAAGGATGATTCTACCTTAATTTACAGCATCCCCTTCCCTCCTCTATGCAGTGTCTGTGAGGAGGGATGCTGCGAGTCATCCGGAGGGGTTGTGGCTGGGGACTGACTGTGCTGCCACCGAGCAGATCTTCCAGGCTCGCCTGTTCTCTGATGGTCCAGGGTGTTCTGCAGGGCGTGGTGCAGACATCAGAGCTGGATGGGGTGTGGGAAAGAGGAGACCTGTGGTAGCAAGGTGATTTACCTGGGTTGATGCTTTCTACCCAGGCAGGATGCAGAGAGCTGTGCTGCTCTAACTGCTCTGCTTCAGTAGCTGAATGAACTATTTTTTTCACGTGCAAATACTTCTTCAAAGTGTTGCTCTGTGTCTCTTGTTCTCAAACGCTTCTGACTTCAAACTGCTTCCCTAGAAATGGAGCCAGCCCTGGAGTGCGTCCTGCCAGCCGCTCGGGCTGACAAAAGGTGTGCAGAAGTGAGAGTTGTGCTAACGCTGTTGGCAGCCAGCAATGCACAGCGGCTCCAAAAGCTACTGCTTGGTAGGAGGAACGGTGGGGTTTGGGCTTCGCTGGCCAGGATGGCACATCCTAAAGGGGTGCCTTTGATGCTTGCTTGGTGCTCGGGGAAGAAGCCACTTGGCTAAACTTCGAACGTGGTTGCGAGTAGATTCATGTTCCCCTCTTGCATCAGGCCCTATTTAAACACAATAGCTACCCTGATTTCTTGATGGATCTGGTGGAGTGTTAAATCAAAAAAGTCCTCATGTGGGTACTTATTTTGGTGTAAGTGTGCTTTACAGTGATTCAGTCTTATTCCTTACAGACTTTAGCTTAAATGATATCAAGATGCTCTTAAACAGATATGCAAAATATTTGCACAAATCCAACCTCACTGGTCTCGAAGCAGAATTTTAATTGGCCCCATTTTTTCTCTGCTAAAACCTACACTTACTGGCACTGTTCCTGTGCGCCGCTAAATAGACCTGTAGCGCTCCCAGTCCTGGGTGCATTTCAGCAGCAGATGCAGTGACCTCCGAACATGGCTGGCTAATTTTATACGGCATTTCATGATACAGTGCTGTTTAATTCTAGACACTTATTTGATTATGAAAGCTAATTAGAAGGGAGCAGTCTATAAGCATTTGAGATAGATGTAGAGCGATGTGGATCTAGGCAAGCTCTGGTGCTGATATCTGCAGAGAGGTGATAGCTGCTGCTGGGGCAGTTTTGGGAACTAGCTGGTGTCTATTAGGATCAGGTTTCTGCTTTGCTTAATATTTTTTAGGGCAATTCTACTGCCTGTGGCTGAGCAGAAGAGCAGAGTAGATACTGTGTGATCTGCTGAGGGAATTCCGAGGTTTTTTTGTACTTTGTGTGTGTTTTTAAATAAGGCGCCTGTCCTGAAATTGGTGCTGCTGTTTCTCCTCCTCACCTCCCATACAGCTTAAAATCACTTGTCTGATTTTTCCCCTTATTTCTGTGAAGAGTTGTTGAATTTAAATAGCAATAATTGCCTGAGTTCCCTGAGTGGTTGTCCTGCGTGTTTTTCACTTTTCCTGGGAATCTGAGAAGTAGGGGGGAGAAGCCCGGGGTGGTGCCACCTCCCTCTATCGCCTGCTTGTATCTCCCCTCCTCCTCGAACTTTGTTGGCCTTAGCCTCCATTCCCAATCCCCAGCTCCTCTCCTGAGCTCCCTTCTCCAGGGACAAGCAGGAGCTTTTGGGGTCCCGCTGCCCTTTCCACAGCACAGCTGGGGGCTGTGTGCAGGCTCATCTCCCCAGCCCCGTGCAGAGTGGCAGCAGCGTGGAGCCTGTCATTAACTCTCTTCTGCGAGAGGCAAATTACAGACTTTAGCGACACAATTAGGTCAGCCCGATAGGAAATGGAAAAACAAAACAATTTCTCTGCGAATTTCTCGGTCTGCCCGCCACCTTGTCCCTTGCTCCTCTGTAGCATTGACTCGGGAAAAATCGCTCCCCCACCACCCGGGTCTGGAGACCTCCTGATGAAGCTAGGGCAAAGCTCCTTAGTAAGCAGATCTGGAGGAAGGGGATGGAAAGAGCAGGGGTGGAGCAGAAAGGGGCTTGTTCCTTGCTCCGCGACAGGTCTCCATCCAGCTCCTCTTCCACAGGGAGAGCCACAGAGTCCCATTTTTGGCCCCAGGAGAGCTGAGCACTGCTCAGAGCAAGGTGCGACTTGCATTTAGAGCAGAAGGCAGCAAAGCCTGTGACAGATGTTGCGGCTCATTACACAGTGGGGGGCCAGCTCTGCAGTGAGCAAGTTGAGCTAATCTCTGCGTTAGGAAGCGTTTCTCCCAATGAGACCTGCTGCCAGCCGAAACCTTTGGCCTGGAGCATCAGGACCTTGAACTTAATTTTCCTGGGCTGTGGGAAGCCAGCAAGAAGGATGGAGAGCTGTGATGAGCACATTGGTGCTGCTGGGAAGACGGATGATGCCTCTGAGTGGTCTCAGGGGGGCAGTGGGTGCCCCAGAAGGAGGTGGAAGCACCCCAGCCCTGCGGCTGGGGAAGGACCAGTGGCAGAGTGGAGCTGGACATGCCGACTGCCCGGTTTCCCCTCGGCGACGCGATCCCTGCAGCTGGAGCCCGCAGCCATGGCTGGAGGCATGCGTGTGGTGTGTATGCGGGGGTCTCTCCGCAGCGCCGATGTTCTCTTGTATGGCCAAGCGAGTCAATGGCAGATTGTGTTGAAATCTCACTTCAGTGGCAAAAGCTGCAATTAGCATTTAATGAAGCTTCTTGCTTTTATTTTTAGGTAACCTCCGATTCCCTGACTGTGTAATTTAGTCCTCCATTGCTTGGAGATAATTAAAGTATGTCACTATAATTTGCT